CGCTTTTGAAGTTGATTCTTGACCTGTGACTGTGAGTTTTTAATTTTCTGATGATTTTTATTGATTTTCTTTTCGTAATTTGTTTATTCTTTTGAATGTATCTTGTTTTTCCTGGACCTCTATACAAAACCATCGGGGTACTGAGGGAGATATTTTAAGCTTTTGCTTCTCCCTCAAATAGAAATGGTTTTGTTTTTAATGGCTACCGGGGCCGGTACCCCCTGAAGACGTCGGCTTCGGTGGTCATATTTTTATTTTATTTCATTTGTTTTGTATTAGCTGTGCTGCTTAATTATAATGCTCCTGCTTACCCAAGGGAGATGGTTTCGAAGTCCGAATATGGGATTTTTGCTTCCAAATGTCATAGCTCTAATTCATCCCATGGATCAAGGTGTAATTGCTTTTATGAAAAAGAAGTGCCAAACGAACTTTTTAAAAAGAAGATTGAAAATAGAACTGATCTGAAGGGCCTCTGGAAAGATTAAATGATTCTAGACTGCATTTATGATGCAAGCGCTGTTTGGGAGTCAGTAAAAAAATTCACTATTTACAAAATCCTAGAGAAAGATTTTACCGAATGTGGATATCACTTTGGTAAAATTTCTGGAAGAAATATCTGCTCTTGATTTGGTAAATTTTGTAGAAAATGTATCAAGAGAAGAAAATGTAGATAAAGAAAACATCAACAAATGGTGCAATTGTGATGCAAATGATCAGCGAATAGAACATTTAAGCGATGAAGAAATTTTAGAGAGATATATGAGCAGATGGTGAAGAAAGTAAAGAAGATGGGACTAAGAAGAAAATAGTCATGGTACTCCTCTAGCACATATTCTAATATGTTTTCTAGCACAGATTCTAATTCAATCGATAGAAGAGCAAAATATTGCAATACTTTGTGACAAAATTTTGCAAAAAAATTTACAACCTCAAATAAAGAAGAGGCTTTCAAGGAGAAGAAATGAAAATAAGTTGAAAGACTTTTTCACATAGAAATAAAAATGCAAAAGAAGAAAATGTGAAAAAACTGCTAACAGCGGGTACGCAATAATAGATATAAAAATTTATCATTCATAAAAAATTGATGGTTTGCGTTTTTTAAGCGTTTTGCAGATCATCCGAGAATTTTGTTTATCCGCACTTTGTGGGTCCCCTAAACCTGTGGATAATCAGGAGTTTACTGTATTTTTTCCCTATATATTTTTAAATAAAAAAGACAATCGAATTCCTGAATATAAATAGTTTTAGATTAATAGTGGAAAGAATTGCTACTGAAAATATAATTTTTACCATACTTTTAAATACCAAACCTTGCGATTTAAAAAGTCTTCAATTAAAGTAATCTTTAAAATCTAACAAGATACATTGTTATTCTAAAATATGTTATACAAACCATTTCTTTCCTCAAAAGAGCAAGCTGCATGTCTAATCGTCCAGATCTACTTTGGCTAGATGCATCCGAATGAGTGCTGCCTTGATCGCTGACTATACTATCCGAACTATCATTCTGTGATGGTAATCTTTGTAAATTAGTCCGTTCAGCCAATCCTCTGTTTAGATCTTGCTGAATCATAGTTCTCATAGCATGAAGTCGTTCCATTTCTTTCCATTGGGCACTACTGAAATTCAACAAACCACTTAAACTTTTAGGTAAAGGAGGTAAACCTTGGAGCGAAGCCATCAGAATTTTTAATAGTTTATTAGCTAAAGGTGCAAAGAATTAGTTATATTCGAGACTTAAAGCTTTATACAGCTAAATTCTGTTCAATCTTCAGGTTAACAGTAGCTGTTGAGTAATATTCCTGTCCAGTTGTAAACAAATCCTGTTGATAAGAAACAATTTATTCGGCTACTCATCGGTTGAAACGGAGTAAATGTTTTACGTTTGAGATATCTATTCTTCAATATTAAAAAACAGTTCGGTAAGTATCAAAGTGGATTTCTCGGAATGACCAGATTTTATAGATTTCACCACATTCTAAATATTAAACGATTAACAGTATCGTAATATAAAATCGATATCATCAATACTAGTAATCGATATAAGAAAAATTAATCGTCGGAATCTCTATAAAGGTTCTTCCAAAAAGTAAATAAACAAAAACGTGACCGACAACCATCAACTGGAGTGATTTGTTATTTTTTTTCGTATCAATTAATCTAACAAGCTTAATAATCTACTATTTCCTCAAAATATTACATAAACTCAGAGTCTCGTATTCTTAACTCGGGAACACAATTTAATTTCCAACTGGTAAAATATTTAAGCATTTGGTTTTGTAAAATAAATAAATAAATGCATGTAACATAAATTTTTTTTATTAGGTAAAATATTGAACGAATACTATTTAATGTGTAATTGTGTTTCGCTTCAGTTTCTTTGTAATAATATGATTTTCGAAGATTGATTTCGTTTATTCAATATGAAAACAAAGCTATTACTGTTTATTTAGTAATTTATAATTCTTTCTGTAATCCTCTTAAACGAAAATTGCGAAATCTGTACTATTTTTTTGATCTTAATTTATTGAATGGAGTTTCATTAATCCTGAAATACTCTTGACTGTAATTTAAATAACAAACTTTCATTTTGTCTGTGCAGTGAGATGGGAGAACCTACAGACGTTTCTAAAAGGTTGGCAAGGTGGTATTTTGGTGGTATTGCCAGCGCTGCTGCAGCATCTTGCACACATCCTCTTGATTTATTAAAAGCAAGTATAGAGAAAAATGTATTTTCATTGTTGTTTAATTTTTTAGGATTTACAGTAAACTATTTAGTTGGAGTATAAAACTGGATTGGGCACTGTACCTTGAAGCTTTAAGTGTCTATAAAATCTTCCATTTTCCTATTGTTTTTATCTCAATTTCTTATTATAAGAAAAATCTCATTTAACTCTAAAATTTTCTCTGTTTTCTATGGGAACATAAAAAACCACTAAAACAGTAAGGTCATCCATTTATAAATTTTTACCCATTATTTTTGACGATAAGAAATAATTTTTTTTGCTCTATGAAATAAGAGAAATACAATGTATTGAAACATGGTTTTGAAACAGAACCCCCTAGACCAAAAGATTAATATTAAAATTATAGTTTGTTTAATTAAGGTAAAAATCAAACAGCTGCAAATTCCAATAGTTCTTTTTTTATTGATAGATAATTCTAACCATATTCGTAAAAATACTGAAAATATTGCAAAACACTATGCTACTAGGCATTATGAATTACAGTACCTAACTCAATTCAAACTGATGTGAAAGTCATGAACGATTTTTTAATACTGACAATTTTAAAACTTAATTTAGTAATTTAAAATCATCAACAAAATTATGACCATTAGCTTAGAATATTATGAGCTAAAATGGGGTAAAGTAAATTTTCAAAAACTAATATTTTGTTTTTTCTTTTCAAATACTGAAGCTACTTTAGAAAACAGAACAAAATTGAAAGAAAATTTTCTTTTTTGTGTGTTAAAATTTTATTATGAAATGGTAATATTAAATGCATATTAAAAATCTTCCATGAAGTTAATCAGAAATTTTTTTTCTTGGGGTACCTTTATCTCCTAACTCTCGTGTTGTACCAGTAGCTAAGAATTGAAATTATATAATTTCTAAAGAGGAATTAATTTTATAAAAATGTGATTCGATGAAGTAGATTAATGCAATACTTTTGCCTACTTTGAAAACTATTTAAAATTATTTTTTAGGTTCATCTTCAAACTCAACAAGAAGGTAAAATTGGAATTGTAAAAAATACAACTAATATTATTAGGAAACAAGGAATTCTAGCCCTATACAATGGTTTAAGTGCATCACTATTGCGACAGGTAAGCATGCATGGAAGTTTAATAATCTGCTGCTGAAATTTTTATTTATTTACTTTCTTTAATATGTCTTATAGTTTGATCAGTAATTTATCATTGTTTTACCCAAAGTAGAAGATCTTAACCTCAATCTTATAAATGTCTTTCTTATGCAAATCTTGAAATATGAGACTTTGCATTTTATAGAATTTTGTGTTATATAGTTTATTTCACATATTTTTAAACTTTTTTACTAAACATGGTAGCTATAATAATGTGGAACAGAATAATCATGAAATGTTTTTAACTAATTTTTAGACACAAATATTTAAAAATGCAAAAATATGCACTTCAACATTTATCATTTATAGAAAAAAAAATTTACTATTCTTAGAACAAATAAGGAACAAATTTATTAATTATAGCTTACTTAGCTTTTGAAATTATAATCTTTTAACAAATAATGTAAGAAGTTAATTGTCTTTGTTTAGTTACAGCTGTTTCTACTGTTATTCTTTATTTGATGTTACCTTGTTCTCAAACAGCATTTGTTGTTAATTGTGAATATAAACAACATTTGTGTCTCCATCTGTGAGCTCACAAATGTTTCTTTAGATATCTTATCATAAATAACTGACAAGTACTGAAAGGACAATATATTTCTCTTTTCTATTTGTGTATTCAAAAATAATTTTCATAATGGTAAATGCGTATGGATTAGATTAGAAATTATCACTCATATTTTTACTAAAAGTAAAAGGCTGTTTGTTGGCCAGAAGGTCATGAACGTTAAGGCTTTGCAATTTCTATATCTACAGCATGATTTTAGCGTTGTGCTCAGCATTAGGCCCTTGCTGCCTCTTTTTTGTACAAGCTGGTACTCATCGACCTGAAGCTGGGTGGGTTCGAAGTTGTCACCTTGCATAGAATCTTAATTCTTTGCAATGTAGGCAGGCAGCCTATTGCCTTATCTGTTGTGCCTTTTGAAACTTATACATTATTGATATTACTTTCATGAAATTGATGTAATCTTTGTTTCAATATATTTCCTTTATAGCTGACTTATTCTACAACTCGGTTTGGGGTTTATGAAGTTGTGAAGCAAAATATTAGTGTACCTGGAGAAAATATTCCATTTTACAAAAAAGTTTTGTTGGCAGCTACAGGTGGAGCGATGGGTGGATTTATTGGTACGCCTGCAGATATGGTCAATGTTAGGTTCGTTATAATTTTTCTTTAATAAGAAAAGAAAGATAAAAATTTCCTTTTTGAGTTATTGTTTTCTCTAAAAAAAAAACTGCTTTTAATGTCTATTTTTTGCTTTGATTAGTTCTTTTTTATTTTTATCTGATTGTTCATAAAAAAATAACGAAGTGATTTTCTTAAAAAAGAAAGACGGTATACCATTTAATATGAATAATATATATCATAACTACTGTCTTAAATTAAGAATATATAGATAAGTTTGTATATGTTTTCTTATTTAGACTCAAATATAGAATAAATATAAATGGTCAGTGCACAAAATTAAAAGGCACACACCTTAATAACTTTCTATACAATGATGGGATTTTTATGTACTAAAACTCAATCTTAATGGTTCATTATTCTAAACTTAAATATATTAATTTATAAGTGCCAGCATTATTTTTAGTTACAAACTCAGGCAAAAAATTTACTTTCTCTGAAAGAACATACCTTTTTTGATCTATTCGGATTCTTAATGTGCAAAAAGGGGTGTTGGAGGTAGTTGCAATATGGAAAATATTATCACATTGGTTTAGGCCGAAGAGCATTCTAAAGTCTAAACAGGGAAAATCTCAGGGAAAGGGTCAGGGAAAATCTGGAATTGTCAGAGAATTTTATTTTAACTTGGGAACAGTCAGGGAAAATTGCATAAAATGAAATTAGAATTTTTTTTAAAAAAAAGAGGAAAATCTTAACATTATAACTGGAAAATAACCAGTATTAGAATTGTGAGTAACAGTTATCAGTTATTAAGATTTGAATTAAATAATTCTAACATCTATTACAATTATTTGTTGTAAAAAGTTTGCATTTTAGTGAAACTTCTATGCTTCTATCTTCATTCAATGATATTTCTTTGCTCACAAAATGTAATATTTGACATTACAATTAAAAAATCAAAGTTTTCTGTTGAAAAATTGCATAGTATGGATAAAATATGATCTGGATTTTCAGTGAAATTTTCCTGATGTACCTGGGAAACTCAGTGAATTTTTTTTCCTGAAATTGAGTCTGAACCCTGTTAAATCTCTTAATGTTAGTTTCAATTTTTGTATGTTTCACCATATCTATAAAATTGCAGTAAATCAAAAATTTTTTGCACACAATTATAAAACTTATTTATTCAAAAATAATTTAATGCACAAAAATATTTAAAATTGTAAGGCATAAAAATTAATTTTTACACCAATTTACTTACGCAATTTTAAATTATGAAATCCAAAATTTGAGCCAAATAGTTCATAAGAAACACTAAAAACGCAATTTCCTTGAAACGTCAAAGTAGGCAAAAAATTAAATTAACTTTTAAGAATTTCAACTTCTAACTTGCTTAAACTTATAGAACAATATTTTCCAGAATGACACTACCTTCCATATTTTGAGGATCACGAATTCAAATAAAGTATGTTTATTCAGGGAAAGTATATTTTTGTGTCTGATTTAAAGGCTTAGAATATAATTTTCTCAAATTAATTAGCATATTAACTGTTTAAGCTCTTGAACCATTAAGATTGAGTTCTTGTATGTGAAAATCTGATCATTAGATCATAAGATGTTAAAATGTTATTTTTCTTTTTTTTTTGTGCATTGTTAAAAAATCAAAATTATTATGTGCTTTATAAGTTTTCACTACATACTTTTTGTATTTATGTGTATATATTTGTGCAGATTAAATAAGAAAAAGTTTGAGTTTTCTATTTATTAGATATATCTTACTAATGAAAAATTAAACCACAACAGACATAATTAATTCCAAACTATTTCAAAATTGTAAAATTAAAAGCTAACTTGATTAAAAGTATACATATAGTTCTACCATCTCTTGATATTCTAGGACAATAGGTTTCTCTCTTTTTAGAAATGAAAGTTACTTGTAATTTTTGCATTTTGATTAAATTGCATAATTCTGATATTACATTACATTGGAGTGTTTGAAGTCTCATTTTTTTAAGGATGTTTAATGTTCTCTTCAACTTCTGGTCCATTAGAATTTTCATTGAATTGTATGAATATTCTTTGGGTTATTCATAAAATGTTATTACAAAGTAAAAACAGAAGACATACATTTTATTTAAATCATCACTTCTTTTATAAATTAGAAAAAAATAGTTTTTTTTCCAATCTGATTATTTTTACTTAAATCAGATTTTTTTTCATTTTACATTTACCGATAAAAGCTCTTATAAAATGCATTAATAATGCTTAATATTATTTAAAATGAATAGCATAACTAAAATGCGTAGAATTTCTTACTAAAATTATTCTGTAAGTTTTTTCAAACTATTCCTGAAAATATAAAATCATAGTTATTTTTGTTCAAGCTTCATAAATTTATTAATACTAAGACGTGATTTGTCAGTTCCATATCAAATGATGAATAAATGTATTTAGAAGAACATTAAAAAATATTCTTTTTTTGTAAAATACTCTTTGCAGAACAGGTCTTTCTTTATTAATGTACATAAATTTTTAAAGTTTAATCTTATTTTTATCGATATTTAGTAGCTTTTTTCTATTTATTCGTATTTTTTTACATTAAAGTACAATTTACATACATTCCCATCTCTTTATTTCTTTAGATAAAACCTTCAATATCAATGAAGTCAAACTAAAAAAAATAAATCCTTAGAATTATATTTATTGGTTATATTTAAAAATATTTTTGAATTAAATCATTGATTTTTAAAAAAAACCCCAAATAATATGGTTTAAATTATGTCAACCATGCATCGTTTAAGTTTGGTCTTTTTCATTTGGCAATTGGTTCTAATTTTTGTTAGATTCATACGCCATTACTTGTTTTAATATTTTTTCTTATAATTTTTAGGATGCAGAATGATATTAAACTTCCTCTTGAACAGAGAAGAAAGTAAGTTATAAATGATCTTTTATTTGATTACTTAAAAGTGATAAAACCTATTTTTTTTTTTATCTATCTTCTATTTTTTTAGTTACAAGCATGCTATCGATGGCTTAATTAGAGTTTATACCAAAGATGGAATTAAGAAACTATTTTCAGGAGGTTCTACAGCTACTACTAGAGCAATGCTAATGACTATTGGGCAGGTATCTGCACATTTATTTTATCTTTAAACTGTTTTTTCTCTTATATTTTTTAACTACTAATTGTATCATTCTTATAAAGTCTACACTTTTTAGTACAACCCTCTTTACAGCTACCCTTTTATTATATTGACCGATACATTAAGTTTCATTTTCAGTTCAATAGTTGCAATGTATACTAGGTGCCCATTATAATGTTTGCACTGAATTCATGTTATGTAAATAGTAAGAAAGGTTTTTTTTTTAATTTAGTAATTCATTGTAAAGAAAAATAAAAGAATGATCTCTTTTGCTTTATTAAACTTGTTTCTGTGAAGTTTTCTCATGCATCTTAGCATACATAATAAGTGACATTGTGGATTACGCATGTTCAACATAAATTTTTTATTTGTTGGTAGTATATCATATCATAACATAATTTCTTTTCTGTAGTACAAGAATACCTAAGCCTGAGTTGAAACGTGTTCCATTAAATTATTTTTGTTGTTTTTCGGTGGAAAAGGACTTAAATATTACCATTTTAAAGTCTTTCTTTAAACGCATACATTTACAAGTTTATGCGTTTTTACATAAAATTATTTTCTAGGAACTCTTTTTGAAAGTTATTATTAACTCATAATGTTGCTTTGCGGGTAAGAGACTGTCAGCTCATTCCTGTATGATAGTTGTAGTTTTGTTCCCTTTTTATTCTCATTGAAATATCATTTCAAAAATAAGTGTCAAGAATTGTTTGCTTTGAAAACCGAATTTTCAAGATATTAATTAAGAAATATATTTTGTTTGATGTTACTGTACATAAAATGCAAAACATCCTTTGGTATTTGGCATGAGTAGATTGCCATGATTTCTTAGAATTTCGAGTTCAGTATTTTTATTTAGTTATGAGTAAATGATTTTAATAAAATATTTATGATGTTTTTGTACACTCATGATATAACAATTCCACTTTATAGCATCCATTTTTGTTTAGACAAAAGGGTTTTTTATTCTTTTTATGTATCATATTTTATAATATTTGCTTTTGTTATAAAAGAGTTATAATGCAAAATATTCATTCATATGTGTTCAGTTCTTATATCTTTTTCTCATCTTAAACTATTTTTATGACCATGATTTTTTATAACAATTATTTTAATATAAAAGCTAGAATTAATGTTTTGTTAAGACTAAATAAACTTACTCTTGTTTGATGCTGCTGACTCATAATGTAACAAAAATTTCTACATACATATTTCTTCTTTTTTTTTGCCAGATTTTATATTTTAAATTCCTGATTTCATCCCTTATGTGCAGAGAAATTTCATAGTTCAAAATATGATACATTTCTCTGAAATTTATTTAAGACTTTATTACAGTAAGTGTATATAAAACAAATTCAGTCATTAGATAACAACTTCCTAGCAATTTTCACATTTTAAGCTCTTTGTTTTTGCAAATCAAACTATACCCTTACAGTTTTTTCTTGTAACTAAGGAATCATTGAAATTAACTAAGTCTGTCTAAATAATTACTAAATAAGTCCTTTTGTGGTTAATTAGTTTATAAATGTCATCTGTTTAAATTACTTGTTTATTTTGTTATTCAATAAATATCATATACATTAGAAATATATGAACTAATAAATAATTAAAGATTAATAATTATTGATAATTGTGATCAATATCTTGTGAGCATTTTTATTTATATTTTTTTTACTCATTAATGCTTGCATTGCTTTTTTCATTTTTACTATGTTTCTGTTACATTCATTATGCCTATGACTTTTTTTTAAAAGCACATTATTTGTTTCAGATATCTTTTTATGATCAAATAAAACAGACGTTGTTACAAACATCATATTTTGCTGATAATCTTGTTACACATTTTGCTGCTAGTGTCATGGCTGTGAGTACTTTTTGTTCTGCAGTTTTTTTTAAATCTTCATGTAACCAGGCACTGATCTAAAAATTGTTTATCTGAAAATGTGATTATCATTTTTTTTATTTAAAAACTGCTCATGGTCTAAATGTATAGTTATACTGTTAATAACATTTTAACTAAATACTTAGAATACATTGTTTGAGTTACTAAGTGAAACTAAGTTTATTTATTTTGGATAATTTGAAGTTTAGTTGTTAGAATAATCTCCGAACATCAAGATCTCAATTTCCTCAATACTTAAATTGTAATTAATTACTGAAATTTTTATTTATGTACAATTTTTTTCATATAATATCCTGTTTCTCAGCCGCACCATTAAATATCTTACTTTAAATATCAATTTCAAAATTTAGAAAAAACAAACTATGTGTAAGTATTTTTGTTGTAGTATGTATTACTTAATTATAAAGAAGTTCCTTAAATCAACTTAGTTTCTCTTAAAAACAAACACCTCAATGTTATCTGTTTAACTTGTTCAAGATAAGAGAAGTTGACTCTTTTTAAGTTGGGTAATCTCAGTTTGTGGTATTGTTAATTTTTTTCTTATAACGATTTAGATGTAAGCATTTGTCCAAGTAATTTAATACCTACTTTTATGTTAAGTCTTCAAGTATGTAGATTTGTGCTAGCTAATTTATATATAAGTTATTTAGTCATCAAAAGGCTTATTTAACTTGATAACTAACAAAAATTTCTATCATTTCTTTAATATGTAATTGTATGTGTAACTTGATTATTGGTTTTTATCGATTTTGTAATTTATCCTTTATCAGTCAACTTCATTTAAAGTTCATCCTGATTGTTTTCTGTCACAGAAAATTAGTTACTCCTCAGTTATTTCACAGAAGTAACTGTGCTGGCTACTAGAGCATGAAATATATGTGCAAATTTTCTCAAGTAATAATTTAGTTAGTCTAATTCTATTTGAAATAACCTATTTGAAGCAGGATATTTAGGTAGAAATTGGACTTTTTTTTCTATCAGGAATTTATGCTTAGGATCTTAACATTAGCTAAAGATTGTAATCCAAACTTCTATTTTTAGTAATTATTGATAATTAACTTCTTACTGATCGCAATATTTTTATTTAAATTTGTAACTGATTAATTTTCATTCTATTCTTTGTACTAAGTTATTATTATTTTCTGTAAACATAAAATGATTGTTTAATATGTGTTTTTGAAATCCTTTTTATCCCTAAACACATTTAAACTTCGAAAGGTAACTTTAGAATGTACTTTAAACTTTTAGTTTTAAAAATGTTTTTTTTTTAAAAAATACAATAAAAAAGGAAAAATCAGAATTGTTTTTTCATCTAAGTATGATAGTAATTTTAAATAAACAAATAATGGTCAATAGAATATGTTTTTGTCTAATAATGTCATGCGTTCAAAATATGTAACAGTCTATGATATTATTAAAAACAAAGTTATACAAATGTGTCATTTACCCATATAGAAAATGATATGTTGGATTTTCGAACTTGGGAATTTATTGTAAATATTTTTTTTTAATTTTTAACTTTCTTCTGATAATTACATTTGTAAATTGTTTATTTATAGAACTTATTTTTCTAATTGTTTGAATACTTAGATTTTGTTTATTTTTGTTTTTTTATTGAATATATTTTAATACTGTTATATAATACTGTTCATACTATAATACTGTTTATACTATAATAAACTAAACTCAGTGGCGCAACAGCTCATAGAAGGCCAAGGCCTACTGTGCCCATCTCAGTTTTCTTGACCTTGGGCTCTGGAGTGCAGGAGCAGATGTTCCGGTCAGGTGGTCAGCCGAACGCGGAACCCCCAGTGTTTAGTTCCCAAGCATGCTTGGTACTCATTTATCGACCCACTGAAGGGATGAAAGGCTGAGTCANAAGATTGTAATCCAAACTTTCATTTTTAGTAATTATTGATACTTAACTTCTTACTGATCAGATGATTTTTATTTAAATTTGTAACTGATTAATTTTCATTCTATTCTTTGTACTAAGTTATTATTATTTTCTGTAAACATAAAATGATTGTTTAAGATGTGTTTTTGAAATCCTTTTTATCCCCAAACACATTTAAACTTCTAACCGTAACTTTAGATTGTACTTTAAACTTTCAGTTTTAATAATGGGATTTTATAGTTTTTTTTAAAAATAAAATAAAAACCAGAAAATCAGAATTGTTTTTTCATCTAAGTATGATAGTAATTTTAAATAAACAAATAATGGCCAATAGAATATGTTTTTGTCTAATAATGTCATGCTTTCAAAATATGTAACAGTCTATGATACTATTAAAAACAAAGTTATACAAATATGTCATTTACCCATATAAAAAATGATATGTTGGATTTTCAAACTTGGGAATTTATTGGAAATATTTTTTTAAATTTTTAACTTTCTTCTGATAATTACATTTGTAAATTGTTTATTTATAGAACTTGTTTTTCTAATTGTTTGAATAGTTAGATTTTTTTTTATTGAATATATTTAAACATCATTATACTGTTATATAATACTGTTCATACTATAATACTGTTTATGCTATAATAAACTTAACTCAGTAGCTCAACAGCCCATAGAGGGCCAAGGCCTACTGTGCCTATCTCAGTTTTCTTGACCTTGGGCTCTGGAGTGCAGGAGCAGATGTTCCGGTCAGGTAGTCAACCGAACGCCAGTGTTTTGTTCCCAATCATGCTTGGTACACATTTATCGACCCACTGAAGGGATGAAAGGCTGAGTCAGCCTTGTCCGACGCAAGGATTGAAGCCAGGACCTGTGGTATGGGAGCGCAAAGCGCTACCACTCAGCCACCGGGTGTCTGTTTATACTACAATACTATATATATATATCATAATACTGTTATAATACTGTTTTTAAGCTTTGTGTAGATAATAAAATTTTATTTCATTGTAATTTTTTTGTTTAAAAAATCCTACTTTTTAAAAAATTTAATTATTTTTTTTTCCTTTTTGTTTTTTTCTTTGCTTTATGAAGAATTAAAAGTATTTGTTTTTAATATTATTATAAGTTTCTCATTTATAAATTACTGAATTTTAGGGTGCAATCGCCACTACTCTAACTCAACCTTTAGATGTTTTGAAAACACGAACAATGAATGCCAAACCAGGAGAATATAGGGTAATTCAATGTATTAACTTTAACCAGACTCCATTGTAAGTTAAGAAAAGAAAATTTCGACATGGGATTTAAGTAATCATCAGCGACTGTATATAGTTCCATTTTATTTCAATATCAAATTATACAAATATGCTTTCAAAACAATATAAAAGCTTTTAAAAGTTAAAAACATCAGACAGAAATTTAATTTGTGCTATCTTTTATGATATATATTATAGAATTATTATAAAAAAGGTTATGGTTTTGTAGTCTTCTTGGAATTTCAAACTTGGTGACATATTTCGTTAAACAAAAAGAACATTTAATTGGACCATTAAAAATGGTGCGTCATATGCGGACATGTTCTTAACAAATCAAATAAATATAATGAAGTTTAACTTTTTAAGAAGATCATCTGCAAGAAACAATATTTATTATTTCTTAAATGTGAATAGAAAGATGTGTATTTGTTACGATTTTTAGATAACATTTCTATTAATTCTTATTATTTGTTTATTGATTATTGTTGTTAATAAGAAAGTAAGCAAAAAGGAGGCTTTGCAGCGTCATTTCAAGAGTTGGATATATTGATATATGTTCGCGCTGGGAGCTTGGCATCCATTTGGAGTGCAAACAGGCTCTCTCCATAGGGATAATAGTTTTTTCTTAACTTGCAACAGAGTACAGACTTTTTAAGTGTTTTTAAATCTATGTTATTTTAAAATGTGTGCCTTTTGAGTGAGTGGGAGATGGTTGCTATACAAAATTTTGTTTCGTTGCATTTTTTTTGTTGATGCATCGTTATACAGTAGGGAACCGATTATCCGGAGCGATCGGGACCATCGCTATTTCGGATAACTGATTTTTCCGGTTTTTTGATTCGCTACAAAAAGCTGTTTTTTTTATTGTTAAACCCAACTAAAAAAAATAAATTTCGGAAATAATCTTAAAAAGAAGAAAAAACGATGAAGTGATTATTTCTAATGATTATTTCCAAAATGATGGTAGGGTAAACATCTTTTAAAAAAGAAAGAAAAATCCTAAAATCTTATGAGGAAAATTTTATTTTTTAAAATGGGGGGAAAATTTATCTAATTTCTATCTGGTTTTTTGGTTTTCCGGTTTTCTGATTTCCGGATAACGGGTTCTGTACTGTATTTATATTAATTATTCATGCACTTTTTTAAAGTAAAACTTGACTAGCTTATGTGCTTCATTGTGTTGGTTGAAAAGAGAACTTTTTGAACAATGACATCTAAATGCTTTGGATGATTTTATTTTAAGACTTCCTTAAATGAGATTTTTTTTATATCTCTAACGTATATTTTTAAAGAATTTTTTTTTATCAAATGTGAATTTTTTTATAGAAGTTTATATTACGTTATACTTTTATACAGATAATATTGAAGCTTGAAAACTGTAGATAGAATTGCAGAGTAAGAGGCTTGAGTAATAAGTTGAATGCTATTATTTTCTATCTTATTTAGACTAATTTATTTGTTTTAAAAACTGATTACTTGCTTCAGAGTTTTGATTACCTTTGTTAATTTTAAGTTAAAAGATTTTATTACTCCTAAACAATTGTTTTTAATTATAAATAAATTTAAATGACATAAGACAAAATACACAAAATAAAGGAGCTCTTTCTTCATGAGTTTTGTTTAAACAGTTATGCATTTTTTTAAAATTTTTATATTGAACTATATTGAACTATTCATTATTTTTGGTGTTTAAGATAAATTTGTTTTGATTTCTGTTTAATGAATTTATTAACTACATTTATTTATCTATTTGTTTATTTCAGAACTTGTTACATTGTATATCAGTTACAGCAAAACTAGGTCCTTTAGGATTTTACAAAGTATGCTTGTTGAAATTCTTTCATATTGATTATTTAATTTTATCTTTTTGCTTATTTTATTTTCATTATTTACATAATTTCATACATTTCTTAATTTTTAGGGATATGTACCTGCCTTTGTTCGTCTTGCACCACAAACTGTTTTGACTTTTATATTCTTTGAACAACTTAGACTTAAATTTGGCTTTGTACCAAAAGCTTAGTTCCTCAGTTGCAAAAATATTTGCTTTAAAATATGTTGTAATACCATATGCAATAAATCATTTATTTGGTTCTCTGTTAAAAATATAGTGAGAAGTAGTTAAAGATTGTTCCATTCCCATAACTATGATACAAATTTAGAGTATATGTCAGAATTTCCATTTTTTCAATGTTTGTTTTTAATAGAAAATTTCATTCCTATATTTTAAATGATTTGTTATGTATCAAATTGTTAAATAATTTTTTCCAATTTGATACAATATTTGTTATTGTTGTTATGACTTCTTTCAATGGAGATAATAAATAACCAGCAATATAATTTTTAAATTAGTTTTTAGATGTCCATGAAAGATTTTGAAATAAAAATTATTTAGTGAAGGTTTCAGAATTAGGAATAAAAATTTTGTCTATTGTTGAAAATATCCTATATTTTTAGTGCTCTTAGTATTTCTTCGTTTATAGTATAAAATTTTTTTCATCTTCAGCTAAGTTTTATAAACATCTGATGTAATATTTTTTTTCTCACATAAATTGAGGAGTTAAAATTTTTAATTTCAACTTTTTATTCAATCTTCAAAATTTTTAATAAAACTTTAAACAGAAAATGTTGTTCTATATGAAAAAATAATTATTATTAATTTGATAAGTATAATTAATTTTGAATTACTATTGAAGAAAAAGAGAGCACATCTTGGTTTAGTTCTCTAAAATCTAAATTGAAATCTGGAAAAAAAATCTAGTTTGTTAATTGCTTATAATAGTTGCATAATATTTTTGGTATTCCTAAATGATAAAAATCTTTTTCTATACCAACCCCATTGTATAAGAAATAAATATTTATTAACTTATTTTCAAACGCTATAAAAAATTGCAGTTTTGTATTTTTGAAAATGTGCAGTTTTATAGTTTAGTCTTTAGAAGAATTAAATTGAAATTATTGTATGCATTGGGTAAAATTAAACTGTGCACAGTATGTCTATTTTAGAAGAAAAAAAAACTGCATCAAATTTTAATTGGCATTTATGAAATTGTACAAACCAGTTTCTCCACAAGAACTGTTTTTCTAATTGTTATGAAATTAAAAGGTTATTTAATATTTACAAAAGAAAATATCGTATATTGCCATTTCAAATGTCAAAATAATTTAAAATAAAAAAAACTGTACTTTACCTAAAAACAGCACAAGCAGAAGCGAATAAATTTTTTATTTATTATTCGTGTAATGCTATTTATTATTATGAATAAATTCATATTTTTCAACTAATATATAAAGCTATTCCTTTATCATTAAATAATGTTGAAATAATAATATTACTGAAAGTTTTTTGTAATAAAAAGGTTGAACCGTAAAAAAAAAGAAAAATTAAAATTGTTTTGCCAATCTCTTGAAAAATGTTTTTATTATTTTATCTATTGATCTTTAGCAAAAAAGAGGAGAACTTTAATGACACACCTATGTAACTTACTATTTTTTGAATATCTCTTTTTATAAAGTTAGCAATTGTACATATCATTTATATATTTTTTTATACGCATGTGTAAAATACAAGTGCACGTTTTGTAATAGAGCACTGTGATTGATACAATTTTATTTATTGGTAATGAAATTAATTTTAAAATATTTACATTCAACTTTTTTATAAACTTCTTATGAAACGCTTTGAAAAAACTGTCTTCCAGTTACTTTTTTCATAAATGTGAGTAACATACTACACAAACATACTCTTTAACCGTGTAGCTCTTGTATGAAAATTTTCCTCTTAGAGCAGTGTATTTTCCGCAAATGACATAAAACAATCAGTTTGTTGTGTCAAAAATCAACCAGATTCTGCTCTCAACATATTCAATTTAAAATTGGCTGATAAAATGCTAAATGATTTAGTAATGTATCAAATAATTTGCATTGTGTCATATACTATTGTTTTTAGTTGACTGTAATATTTAAGGAGATCTTTTTAATCTCTATTGGTACAAATACTAAACAAAGCTATATAAAGTTATACCAGCTTCATGTAAAGTTAATATAGGGGAGAGTTGGAAAGTCTTGTCTTTTTAGCTAGATTACTGCTGTAAGTTATTACAAATTACATGAAGGTAGTTTCAGACATTCACCATGATATTTCGAGATATGAAAGACAGTGTTGGCTATTTTTTAGTAAACGACAATGTTTTGAAATATTTGATTTCAAAAATTTTGATTAGTATTCCATTGATTTTTCTCTTTAATTTCTGATTGCTTGAAAATTCATTTTACCTGATATCAGCATTTAATAAATTATCAAAGAAAAAAAAAAGGTTTTTCTTCTTGTTAAAGTTGTTTTTTCTGTTAAATATCGTCGTTAGATGAAACTGGGATCTTGTGAGTATCTAGCTAGGCAATGTAAAAAAGGTCAAGTTTACAGGCTAAATTACAGGGCAAAATCTTATATAGGTTGCATACAAAGTTTCAACTGAAAAAAAATATATAAATATTCTTAGGAAATATTTGAAATTTTACTAACCATCATTCATTACATCTTTGTATAGATCGGCGTACATTTTCAAAAAATTTGATGGTTTATTAGATTGTAGAAGGATCCTAGTTTGAAAATTTGTATACATAACGTTATAATAATCATGCTTTTTTCTGTGAATTTGATTTTTAAAAATATTTTCTTATCCTTTTCAAAATTTGTGAATATGTACTAGTTTCAAAAGAAGACTAACGTTTTTTACTTGATCTATATATCATGTTATTTTTTACAAAATTATCTTTCGTAAATAACAATAAAGAACACTTAAATGTCTTAAGTCTTATTAACTGTGCTAAGCTGCAAGTACATACAACCCATAATATAAGATAAAAATGCAAAGAAAAAAAACACGCTCACTAAAACAGAAAGTTAAAGGAGAAAAGGAATTTAAATAAAAAGAAAAAAATATTAATAGCTTTAAAAATTATTAAAAACTAAAAAAATTAAATAATTTATCTATCTATATATAATAATTTTAGGTATTTCGTATCCTGTTCTCTTTGAATAATCGACTGCAATTTTGCAAATTTTAAAATATTTGTTACAAAACTGGCGAATATTTATAAATGTTCAATACCTACGCATTATTTTTGGTTTCATATTGATCATTGCAGCATAATCTTGAATATAGTTTTTACAATATTTAATTTAAAGTTAATATATTTATATTTTTCACAAAAATGATTATTTAAGTACTTAAGAAACCTGATTTTGTTTTTAATATAGCATGAAATTTATATGTTTGCCAATTATGCAATTCTGTATTTCTTTTTTTTTTACAAAAATGAATTTTAAACTGAGGAGGACAAATTTTTTGGAATTTGAATTGCGTGAATTTTTTAAAATCAGAATTTGAAATTTAGATGATTATTGAAGGGCACACACACACACACTGTTGAAATTACAGTTTTTTTTGCAACATTGAATTATTTGTTTTCTTTTCCGATTTTTGTTCTGATTATTGCTTTTGTTATGATTTACAGAAGTATAGAAGTACAATTTCAATAAAATGTTTTACTTTTTATTTTGACAATATTATGTTTAATTTTTGGGCTTGTTATCAAAGTATTTTGTTAATATTAGATCTCATATATATATATTTATTGCACATATTTTGAATAGCATGTTCTGTTGTAATTAATTTATTTTAACAAAGTATATTGTTTGTTAACACTGTCATTTTTGTTTTTTGTTAAATAAATTTTAGAATTTCTATTTCAATACTACAGTGTAAAAAATTTTCAAGTTAAGACTGAAAATACATATTGCATTTGTAATCTATGAGAAAGGTGGATGATATGATTTAGTGTTTATTTATAAAACAAATTTTTATAATCAAATTTATTGTTTAATATATACATTGTTGTTATTTTTTGTAGGTATTCTATTAATAAAAATTCAATTAATATGTTGTATTATAATTGCAATTTGTAGTTATTCTGTTTATTCAATATTTCAGTATTTGTTGAAAAGTGTACACAATGCAGTATAAAAAGAAAATACTTTGGTTCAAATCTGAGTAAAGCAACTGTGTTATCTATGCATCAAAATATTTATCTATAAATGCTTTTGAGCTTTTAATATATTTTAGATATCAAAAACATAAGCAATGAATTAAAAATATTTACAGCTTTATAAATTTTCAAAGGTTTTTTATCCTTAAAAGAAGGTGTAAAATTTTTTTTACAGTAATTGTTACAAAAATATTAGAATAGCACAGAATGTTCTATCTGCTATGGAAATTTCAGATTAATGTACTCATTTACAAATAATTCACAGTTTTATCATTTTAAGAAACTGTAAAGGTACATACGTTTTTGTTATTTTTTAAAAGTCACAATGATTGTTGAATAACCTCAAAATGAGTGCAAATGAAAAAGTTGTTCTGCGTTATATATTGCACTTTTTAAAGTTATATTTAATTTTTAAAAAAGTATTTCTTCAACATAATGACATGGTGTAAAAAATGGAAGCCTCTTAAAAATGACTATCAAATCGGCAAAAGAATCTTAGGGTAATTGATATAGGACAAAATTACAAAGGTTTAAATTGTTATCTATTAAAAAGGTGTAAATTATTTTTTTATCAAAATAAAAGTAATACATTAAAAGAAAAATTAAATTTTCTAAAAGTCATACATATTTAGAAATAAAATAACAATTGTGAAGTTAAAATAATGCATAAAGCCATTAATAATGTATTCTACATTCATTAATTAGTAAAGTAAGTGAAAAGAAAGCTATAATTTAAGTAATATCTGATTTCTTGTATGTTATTAAAATCTAATAAGTTAATTATACATGTGCTAGGTTTGAGTTTTCTTTAAATTATACAGTCTTGTTCAAATATAATATATTGCTAAAAAAGGCAGATAATAAAATAATAAATTGTTGCGCGAAACCTTATTTTTGTGCCGTTTTCTTTCCAAGAATCACAATTTAAAATATCATATATATCTATCGCAGACTTTTCGAATGCCATTTGAAACTGTGCCAGTTTTCTACTTACATAAAGTATATTTAAATTAATTAATCTTAAATTACTTTTCCTTCCGTTTTGGACCATAATTAATTTTGACCAAATTTTAATTTTGTGTTTTCAAAAGAAAATAGCACAACATAATGAAAGTTTATTCATTACATTAAAAATGGTTGTTGGAAATTGAATTATTGTTGGAACAAATGGAAAGAGGTGAGTAGGGAAGGTTCTTTTCGATTACGGGAAAGACAATTGTTATACAGTTTTATGAAAAGCAGCTAGGAGTGGGAAATTAAAAAGCAATTTCTTGTTTTATATGTTTATTTTATATCTTGAATTGCTACTTTTTCAAGAGAAAGAAGACTTAGTTTACTAATCTTATCATCATTTTGAAAAAATGAAAACGCTTGAATTTTCTAAATAAATTGAATTACAATTATATTTTTTGAATGTCGCCATTGCTATTTTTGAAGTATTCAAATTTCTCAATTTATTTTTGCCCACTTTTGGAAAAATTCAATTTAATCTAGTGAATTTGGAGGAATGTAAAATTAGCTTAACAGTTTTTAATTATCGTTTGTTGCTATTATGAAAAATTTCTAAAAATATTTAAAGAAAAAAATGGGAAGAATTTTCGCTGCCGAATGTTCTTATAAAAACTATAAAAAATTTTTGTTTAATGAAATTTTTTTTTTTTAGCTGCATCATATTTCGCTCAATATTTTTTATTTATGGATATTAAATTACTCAATAATGATATGAGAGATTATTCTCCTGTTTGCTTTTATAAAATTGTAGAAATAAAAAAACCAAACTTTTTAATGAAAAATTATTACTTTTCTGAATTCTCTTAAAACCAGTCTTGCTAAAAAAAAGGTTAGAATGTCGAAACAATAAATTTTTAAAATGTTTTACGTTCCTAAACATGTTTTTTTTTTCCTTGAGGAGAAAAGTCAGTAGGAGCAAATAAAGGCAAAAATATAAACTATCATTGATTTTTTTTGAACTATTGAATCTGAGCCAACTGTGTTCCTTGTTTTAAATTTTTTTTATCTGTTTATGTAGTGATTGGATACAGCAGGTTCGCGCACATTTGTCGGATGAAACTAAAGGGTTGAAGTTAACTAAAGGGTAAAGGTCGGATGAAACTAAAGGGAAACTGTTATCATTCATTACAAATTGTCGGCATCCAGGTTGATGCTGAAAAATATATTTACAGAT